GTGCGTGGCGCTCTGCGCTTTCCGCGCGGCGTTTGGTGCGCGTTGCGCGCTGCGCGCGCGGCGCGTTGCATGGTGCGCGTGCTGCGCGGTTCGCGCTGCGTCGTCTGCGCGTGCGTTGCGCGCGGTGCGCGCGGCGTCGCGTGCGTTCTGCGTTGGACGTTGCGTTGTGGATTGCGCGCTGTGCATTGCGTGATGTGCGTTGTGTGTTGTGCGTTGCGTGCGCTGCGTGTCGCGCGGCGCCCTGTGCGCTGTGCGTTGTGTGCTGCGCGTTGTGCGTTGTGCGTTGTGCTCGGTGTGTTGTGCGTGGTGCGCGTTGTATGCGGCGCCTTATGTGTTATGTGTTATGTGTTCTGCATTGCACGGCACGCGGTGCGTCGCGTGCGTTGTGCGCTGTGCGCCTTGTGCGTGGAGCGTTGTGCGTTGTGCGTGCCGCGTTGCGCGTAGCGCATTGCGCGCTGCGGGCGGCGCGCGGCGCGTTGCGCGCGACGCGTGGCGCGCGGCGCGTGGCGCGCGGCGCGTGGCGCGCGGCGCGCGCGCGCGCGGCGCGCGCTGGACGTCGCGCGTTGTTCGGCACGCGTCGTGCGCGGTGCTGTTCGCGGCGCGCGTTGGGCGTGGCGCGCGGTCCGCGGCCCACGGCGCGCGAAGTGCGCGGTGCGTGGTGCGTTGTGCGAGGTGCGTTCTGCGTTGGGCGTTGTGCGTCGCGCGTTGTGTTCTGCGTTGTGTGCTGTGCGACGTGGTCTGCGTTGCGCGGGTTGCGTTGCGTTGTTCGTGGCGCGCGTTGCGCGTTGCGCGCCGTTCGTTCTTGGTCGCGCGTTGCGCGTGGCGTGGTGTGTGTTCTGTCTTTTGCGTTGTGCGTTGCGCTGCGCGCGCGGCGCGCCGCGCCCGCGCGTGATGCGCGTTGCGCGTTGCGCGTTGTGCGCTGCGCGTTGCGCGCTGCGCGCTGCGCGTTGCGCGCGGTGCGCGCGGTGCGCGGTGCGCGGCGCGCGCGGCGCGCAGCGCGTTGTGCGTTGTGCGTTGCTTGCTGCGCGCGGCGCGTTGCGCGGCGAGCGCCGCGCGTTGTGCGATCTGCGCGACGCGCGCCGCGCGTTGCGAGCGGCGCGCGGCGCGTGGCGCACGCGCGCGCGGCGCGCGCGCTGCGCGTTGCGCATTGCGCGTTGTTCGCCGCTGTCGTTGCGCAGCGCGCGTTGTGCGTAGCGCGGCGCGCGGTGCGCGGCGCAAGCGCGTTGTGGCAGTGCGTTGCGCGTTGTGCGTAATGCGTTTTGCGCGTTTTGTCGCGCGCGCCGTGCGTTGCGCGCTGCGCGCGGCGCGGTCTGTGCTCAGCGCCAGGCGCGCGGCGCGCGTCAATGGCGCTCTGCGCGCGGCGCGCGGTGCGCTGCGCTGCGCGTCGTGCGGCGCGCGTTGTGCGTTGTGCGTTGCGCGCCGCGCGTTGTTCGCTGCGCGTTGGGCGCTGCGCGCGGCGCGCGGCGCGTGGCGCGCGGCGCGCGGTGCGTTGTGCAGCGTGCGCGCGGCGCGCGGTGCGCGCGCGATGTGCGTTGTGCGTTGTGCGTTGTGCGTTGTGCGTTGGGTGTTGTGCGTTGTGTGTTGTGCGTTGCGCGCGTTGCGCCTTGCGCGTGCATCGTGGCGCGTGGCCCGTTGCGCGCGGGCGTTGCGCGTTGTGCCCTGCTTGTTGCGAAGTGCGCGTGTGTGTGTGTGCGTGTTGCGTGTTGTGTGTGTTGCGCGGTGACATGTGCGTAGAGCGTTGTGTACCGTGCGCTGTGCGTCGCGCGTTGCGTTTCGCGCAGCGCGCGGCGCGCGGCAAACGTTGCGCGCGGCGCGTGGCGCGCGCATGGTGTGCGCGATGTGTTTTGTGCGTTGTGCGCTGCGTGCTGCGCGTGGCGCTCGACGCACGGGGCGCGGCGCGTGTCGCGCCGCGCGTTGTTTGTGGCGCGCGCGATGCGTCTTGAGCGTTGCGCGTTGTGTGTTGTTGCTCGTTGTGTGTTGTGCGCTGCGCGTGGTGCGTGGCGCGCGTTTCGCGCGGCGCGCGGCGCGCGGCGCGTGGCGCGCGCGCGCGTTGCGCGTTGTGCGTTGTGCGTTGTGCTTTGGGTGTTCCGCGGCGCGTGTGCGTTGCGCATGGCGCGTTGTGCGCTGCGCGATGTGCGTTGCGTGGGCGGTGCGTTGCGCGCGGCGCGCGTCGCGCGCGGCGTGCGTCGCGCGCGGCGTGCGTCGCGCGGCGCGTGGTGCGCGGCGCGCGACGCGCGCTGCGTGGCGTGCATTGTGCGTTCTGCGTGGCGCGTTGCGTGTTGCGCGTGACGCGCGGCGCGCGGCGCGTTGCGTTGTGCGTGGCGCGGCGTTCGCGCGATGCGCGCTGTGCGTTGTGCGTTGCGTTGTTCGGTGTGTCATGTGTGCGCTGCGCGTCGTGCGTCGCGCCTGGCCGCGCGCTGCGTTGCGCGACGCGCGCGGCGCGCGGAGCGCGGCGCGCGTTGTTTGGCGCGCGGCGCGCGGCGCGTGCGATGCGCATTGCGCGTTCCGCGTTATGCGTTGCGCGTTGTGCGTTGCGCGTTGTGCGTTGTGCGTTGCGCGCGGCGCGTGGCGAGTGGCGCGCGTTGTGCGTTGCATGTGGCGCGCGGTGCGCTGCGCGCTGGGCGTTGTTCTGCGGTGCGCGGCGCGAGCGCGTGCGGCGTTGTGCGTTGTGCTTTGCGCGTTACGTGGCGTGCTTTGCGCGTTGCGCGTTGCATTGCACGCTGCGCGGCGCGTTGCATGTTGCATGGCATGTGCGCGGCGTGCGCTGCGCGCGGCGCCCTGTGCGCGGCGCGCGGTCCGCGGCGCGCGCGATGCGTCCTGCGCGTTGTGCGGTTGTTTGTTGCGCGTTGTGTGTTGTGTGTTGTGCGTTGCGCGTAATGCGCGGTGCGTTGCGCGCAGCGCGCGGTGCGTCGCGCGCGCGCGCGGCGCGGCGCGCTGTGCGAGACGCGCGCTGCGCGGCGCGCGTTGCGCGTCGCATGCCGCGCGCTACGCGTTGTGCGTGGCGGGTGGTGCGCGGCGCGCGGTGCGCGACGTGCGCGGTGCGTGGTGCGTGGTGTCCGTGGTGTTCGTTGTGCGTTGTGTGCTGCGCGTGGCGCGTGGCGCGCGGCGCGCGATGTGCTGCGCGCGACGCGCGGCGCGTGGCGTTCGCGGCGCGCGCGTTGCATGTTATGCGTTGCGCGTTTTGTTTGTGTTTGTTCGGTGTGCAGTATGTGCTGTGCGTCGCGCGTTGCATGCGGCGCGGGGCGTTGCGCGCGGCGCGTGTTTCGCGTGGTCTGTGGCGCGTGGTGCGTATGTTGCGTGATGTGCGTTGTGCGTGGAGTGTGGCGTGCGTTGCCTTGTGCGTTGCGTTTGGCGTACGTTGAGCGTTGTGCGTAAAGTGTTGTGCGTTGTGCGTTGCATGTTGCGTGCTGCGCGTTGCGCGGGGCGCGCGGTCTGCATTGTGGGTTGTGTGCTGCGCGTTGTGTCATGTACGTTGGGCGGCGTGCGTTGTGTGCTGCGTGGTGTGTAGCGTGCGTTGTGATGTGTCTTGCGTGGTGCGTATTGTGCGTTGCGTGTTGCGCGCTGCGTGTTGTGCGTTGTGCGTTGTGTGGCGCATGCTGTGCGCAGCGCGGTGCGCGTGGTGCGCGGCGCGCGGCGTGCGTGATGCGCGCTGTTCGATAAGTTGCGTTGCGCGTTACGTCTGGAGCGCGGCGCGGTGCGTGGCGCGCGGCGTGCGTGCGATGTGCGTTGTGCGTTGCGTGTTGTGCATTGTGTGCTGTGCGTCGTGCGTTGTGCGCTGCGTGCGTGGTATGTGGCGTGGTGTGCGTGGTGCGTTGTGCGGTCTGCGTCGCGCGTGGCGCGGCGCGCGTTGCGCGCGATCCGTGGCACGCGGCGCGTCGCGTTCAGCGCGTGGTGCGCGTGATGCGCGTTGTATGTTGTACGTTTTGTGTTGTGTATTGTGCGGTGCGCGTTGCGCGTGGTGCGTGGTGTGCGGCGCGTGGTATGTGGCGCGTGGTGCGCGTGGCGCGCGGTGCGCGGCGCGTGGTGTGTGACGTGTGTTGTGCGTTGTGCGTTGCGCGTCGTGTGTTGTGTGTGTCTTGCGCGTTGTGTGTTGTGCGTTGTGTGTTATGCGTTGCGCGTGGTGCGTGGTGCGTGGTGTATGATGTGTGGTGTGTGTTGTGTGTTGTGCGTTGTGCGTCGTGTGCGGCGCGTTGCGCGAGGTATGTGTTGCGCGTGGTTTGTGGTTTATGGTGAGCGGTGCGTGGCGTGATGTGCGTTGTGCGTCGCGCGTGCGCCGCGCGTTGCGCGCGCGAGCGGCAGGGGGCGCGGGGCCCGAGACGCGCCCCTAGGGACCGAGTCGGAAGAAGAGGGCCGAAGATTTCGCGCGCCAGGCCCGAGTCGTCGCGCCCCTGGCCCCCGCACAGGGGAGCGAAGAGGACCGCGCTTCGCGGCCTGGACCCGAGAGCTGCCCCACTACGGGGATCTGCTGCGCGGGGCCGCGGAAGCTCCCGCGCGCGGCGGGGCGCGAAGCGCGGAATTATACGTGACCTAGAAGACGCCGCCTCCTCCCCTGCTCCTCCTCTCCTCCTCCCCCTGCTCGTCGCCCCCATCCCTCTGCTCCTCCTCTGCGCATCTCAACCGCACGCACGGTGGAAGACTGCATTTGCATGGTAGTATGTTGTAGTGCGCTGCCTTGCCTGAGGGGTTGTGTCATCGATTGCCCCCCCCTAGTTCGCCACCATCGGCCCTCGGCAGAAACAATGTCACCTGGAAGGCGCCAGAGGCCACCTATTCACGAGCGTCGAACACATCCACCTCCGCGCCCTCGCGGTCAGGCATTTGGGGCGCGTTCCAACGGACACGGAGTCGCACGGATACGTTCCGCACGGGGCATCCGCGAAACAAATCTTCGTATCCGTTGGGTCGCGGCCCAAGGCTTGGCCCGCGAGGCCGCGGATGCGGTTTTGTTTTTTGGCCCACGAGCAATGGCAGTCGCAGGAGAAACGAGGGGCACGCGACAGGCTTGGCGCGCCCGCTTCATCGACGCGCTGCCGCACGGCAACGACGGCGCACTTGCGGCCGACGACGTTGGGTTGCGCCCTCTGCTGCTGGAGCTGTGGCATGAGGCGGGCCCGCTGGTCTCCAGGATTTGGGATACGCAGGAGGCGCCTATACACCACCACCACCACCACCATGCCTGGCAAGGGTCGTCTTGGACCCCAGGATGATGCATGTATCCTCCCCGCCACGAACGCGCACACCCCATGGCAAGGCCCAGGATGGCCCTGGCCGGGCATGCTGGTGATGTGCACTTTTTTTCTGTGTACGACGGTTCGGGGGTGGCAAAGGAGCGGGAGAGTGCTGGAGCAAGGGGAGGAGGAGGAAGAGGAGGAGGAGGCGGAGGAGGAGGAGGCGGAGGAGGAGAGCCTATGATGGCATTGAAACCCACAGCTCGAAATTCAAAGGAGGAAAAGGAAGAGCAGGAGGGGAAGAAGGACCCCACGACCTGCTCCATCGGCCGCATTCTACGGGAAGCTCTCCGAGGCGTCGCCATCATCCCAGGCGTTTTCAGTTAAGCTGCCGCCGAAACGCTGAAGGGGGGGTTGGGAGGAGCGTCTTCGCACGGCGGCGGTGCAGCGGCAGGATGTCGATTTGCGATTTTGGCTGCGGGAAGTCAACGGTTGATGTTGACCAGAACTCCCCCAAAAGCCTCACATGACGCGACCGTGGCCTGCTCGACCATTCGATACGCTATTTCTCGAGGGGGGCCACGAAAGTAGCCAGGCGATGCACTTTCGGGATTGGGTGTTCTCTGGCTTAGTCGATGGATTCAAATTGACCAGTCGATTTGATTGTTCACCAGTGGCGCAAAGACTGCAGCTGGTCAAACTGACCCTTCTGTGCGGTACTGTTCACTTCTAGTCAGTTTCTTGTTGAGGCAATCGGATTCGAGTGCAGAGATCGAACGAGATTGATGTTGGTTGTGGTCTGAACACGCACCAGCACAACCAACCAGGGAACGATGGCGATGGGAGGTGAAGGCGACGTCGCGGTTGCGGAACTCAGGCCAACATCGCTTCCCGCAAAGCGGTGGGGCAACAGTACAATGTTGCCTGGGTGCGCCTCGGTGCTTCGGATATTGGTAGTAAAGCCCACACATGCTTTCACACAATTTGGCTACTGGCCCCGAGATGCTACACATCGGTCGAAACTGCGTTTATGCGGAAATCCTGAAACGAAATCGCCGTTCCCATTTCAGGCCGACGCGTTTCGATTACGGTGGAAGCGCTCTTGTTGTTCAAGACAGGTTGGGGCGGAGTCGCTATTTGGATTTCGACATCGTGTTTCTGTGATCCATTGCGTGCAATTCGCATGTGCGACTTATCTGGCCGATGATTTCACGAAACAACGGTTCCGTTTGATAGTTCTCGCGGGAAAGTTTAGGCCGAGGTTGATCTCTTCACGTTCGAAGATGACATGGCGATTCCGCCAATGACGTCCTCCGAAAGAGAAGTCGAAATCTCTCTCGTTCAAAGTCGGCATGGCGATTCCACCAAGCACGTCCTCCAAATCACGAGTCAAACCCTTTCATGTTCGAAGTCGAAATGGCGATTATGCTTGTGACTTCCTCCAAAACGGAGTCGATGTTTGTTTCGGTTGCCAGTGTCGCGCTCGTTCACAAATCGATACAGCGACGTCGTCACGGTGAATATTTAATCATGTCGCCGTCGCCGCATCATTGCGCGCGACCGCGGCGCATTATCCGCGAGGTGGCAGGCGAGCCAAGAAGATCCAGGTGCAGCCGCCGAGCGCGGTTCCAAATTGCGCAGCACGATTTGCCCAACGGCTACACTTTGTCGGAAATTCCATTTCGCTTGTACGTAAGTTCGGCCACAGTGCAGCGCGTCCCGCTAGGCGACGCTGCCCCGAGTGCGATGTTGCCAGGGTGCTTGTCGGCGCTTCGGGTAAGACTGCATATGCTTTCACGCAGTTTCGCCACCGGCCCAGAAATGCGCCATATCGGTCGAAATGTCGTTAATGGGAAATTCCTAGCGAAATAGCCGCTCCGGTTTCGGGCCGACTCTTTTAGATGGAGAACGTGCAGCACTTGTGATTCAGCACATTTTGAGGCGGAATCGTTACTTCGATTTCGAACCGACGAGTTCCTACTTCATGCTTGTTTTTGATACGGACTACAGTGGAGACCCGTGCCAAGAAACACCTTGCTTGCCTCCAGGGTGCACTGGGTTTCTTGGGTTTCGATGGTTTTGCCCTGGAAAGCGCGACGCTCCCGCACCAACAATTAATGGACATCCTGGGGTCTCATTGGGTTTTGTTGTGTAAGGTTTCTTGTGGTCGGGACCCTACTGTATTACAGGACAGCCACACGTTTGACTTCCCTTGGTCTGCGATTTGAAAGGTACAGACGCCAATCGAGTCGTCCGAATCGAAGCGGTGACTCCGCTTGAGACTGTTTTGTTGTTTCGACCGATGTTGACATTTTCTGGTTCGAAGTCGGCATGGCGATTCTGCCCAGGACTTCCGCCGAAACGTAAGTTGAAACCTCTCCAGTTTAAAATCGGCGTGGCGATTCCACCCAGGACTTCTCCAAACCACATGTCGAATTTTTCTGTGTTCGGAGTCGGCATGGCGAATTCGCCTGAGATATCTTCCAAATGTCCGGTCCCAAGCCGAAATTGCGATTCCGCCGAGTATTGTTTGCAAATGGTATGTCGAAGCGTTGTCTTCATTGTAAGATGACGCGGGTCACAACGTTCGTAGCGCCGATGTGATGAACAAACAGTTGCATGTTGTTGTTGCTGGGGTTTGCCCGAATCACTTCGGTCGGCGTTGGCGCAGGAGGCGCGCCAGGGGCGTGGGAGGCAGCGTACCTCCGGAAGTGTGCGTTCATGCTGTTGTTTGCTTTTCTGGAGAAGAGGGCAATGGAAGGTGAAGGGGGTATGTGGGCGGGGCCCTCAGCGAGGCTTGGTCACAAGTAGTTGCCTGTGTTGCGCGTATGATTTGCTTATGTGGTGTTCTGTCTGTTCTCTGTCTCTGTCGATGCGTATGTTTACATACAGATGCCTTTTTTTCTATATGAATACGTATTAATAAATGTGCATGTGCCTACATGTATGTGTGCATCGCGCACCCACACCCCCCTGGAAGAGTGGCGCAACCATTTGTTCAAGCCCGGCCTGTGCGAGCGCGCGCGGGTGGGGGCCGCCTGCCGGCGGCCAGCGCAGGTCGTCGAGGCGGCGTCCGGCGAGGCGCAGGGGGCGCTGGAGCTGTTCGCGGTGGAGGCCGCTCCAGCGGAGGGCCTCTTGGGGGCCCCTTGGGGACGTCTTAGGGCCTCTTGGGGACCTCTTAGGGGCCTCCTGGGGACCTCTTAGGGGCCTCTTGGCGACCTCTTGGTGGCCTCTGGGGGCCTCTGTGGGCCCTCGTGGCCTCCGGAGGCCATCGTGGGGCCCGGCCATGCGCAGAGGGGGTGGGGAGAGGGGGGAGACTTAAGTAGAAGCACCCCTGCTTCTAAGAGGGCGCAGGCCTCATCTGTGGATGTGAGGCCGGCGCCTTCTCGGAAGCAGCCTCCTTCTAAGAAGCTTCGCCCCCCCTTACCACCCCTCAGTGCGCGCCGCCACTGACGGGGGGAGCACGGCGGCGTGGGAGGCACGACGGGGGCCTTGCTTCTCCCTCGTGGCGAAGGAAGCACGGTGTGGGGTTTTGGCCTATCTTCGGCCTCCAGGGGGCTCTCCCTTGGCCCCGGGCCCGCCAGAAGAGGATTCAGGGTGAGAGGCTGGTTTCGGGCAAGGGGTTCAGATTTCGGGGGGGGGGGGGGGGGCAGGTTGCGAAAAAAGCACCACGTCGGATGTCTGCAGGCCTCCGGCGCTCTGCCTCCCCAATGGGACAGGCAGGGCAGGTCGGAGGGAGGCCCCCGCGGAGCCCGGCGTCGACATGTTTGTCACACTTGGGTGTTTCTCCGCCCGGTGTGGGGCCCCGGGGCCTTCGCGGGTCGATGCGGCTCGAGGAACGCCGCAGGAGGAAGGGGTCTGGGGCTGCAGTCGCGAGTTGCCGAAGATATGTTTCGGGGGCGGACAGAACCCCCAACAGTGACACGTCGATTAGTGAATTGTCCGTTTTCGGTTCTCGAGATGGCGCCGCGGCCGTTATCTTACAGGCTTGCGCCCGCCAGGTTTGGGCCTCAGGTCGTTTTCACTAAACCACGTTTTACTAAAGGGGGTTCTGTCCATCCCCGAATGTTGCCGTTGTCTTTTTGCGCGGCGCCAGGTCTCAGGGAGGGAGGAGGGTGAGGTGAGCGCGGAGGGCGGAGGAGGAGGGGGAGGGCGGTGGTGGGCAGAGGCGGGCAGAGACGGGCAGGGGCACCAAGCTTGGGTCCGAAGTCGGTTCGCGGTGGAGGCCGCCCGGCGGACCGCTCTCTCTCTCTCTCTCTTTCTCTTTCTCGACTGAAAGAGGCACGCGTGCCCAGGATCATAGAATCACGTGTGCGGAAGCCGGGGGGGTAGCGATGGCGCCACGCTCTGGCAGCAGCGGGCAAGTGCGCGAGTGTTGCGGCGCGCCTGCGAGTGGCCATAACGAGGCGCGGAGGAAATTGCAGCATAGCATTTTAGATTGCGCACACCGTTTCGACTTCAAGGCGATACCAGTATGAATGGCGGGATCTGTGGGCGATAGGCTGGCCCTCTGGAGGAACGTGATGGCAGACGCAGTGAAGACAAGAGCAAGACTTCATCAAAACGCCCTGGACGAGCTCACCGTCAACCAATGCTAATATGCGAGCGCGTGGCGCAACGCGAACGGGCTGCATCACAGCATTGGGCTACGGTGGATTTGTCGAGGGCATGGCGATGAAGGGTCCGCGGGAAATGGGCGGAGGGGGTGAGGGAGGAGAAGGATGCATGGAGGGAGGGAAGGAGGAGCGATGGGGGGAGGGAGGGGGCGTGGAGGGAGGAAGGGAACCAGCATTGGGAACGGCAGATTCATCGGGGGCTGGAGAGAGCGCTGGGGGAGCAGTGGTGCGCCGGTTGGTCGCACGGTCGGAACTACCCTGCTGGGGAAGCGCCAGGGGAGCCTCACGGTCGGACGATCGGAGCAGTTTCCGAGAGGGGGGGCACCGGGGAAGCGGGGGACGCTTGGAACAAGCCGCCGGGGAGGCGCAGGGTGAGCGCCGGAGGGCAGGACGGTCGGAAAAGTCCTCCGGGGAGGCGCCGGGGTAGCAGGGGGGCGCCGGCCGGTCGGACATTCGGAAGAAGTCTCTCTCTAGGGGGGCGCCGGGGAAAGGAGGGGGACGTCGGATGGTCGGACGGCTGGAGCCGTGCGACCGTCCGGCGCCCGGGGGGCCGGGGGGCGCCATGGAGTCGGAATAACATTGAGATCCGACGTTGCAGGCCAGCCCCAGAGAGCCCCCACCACGCTCCAAGACTACCGAAAAGGATCCCGAAGAGAGCCCGCAAACACCCAGCAGGCTGCCGAAACGGCCAAAGACGCGCCCAAGACAGCCCAGAACGCTCCCAGACGACCCCACGACGAGCTCCGAGGCGCCCGACGACGGCCCCAACGGCGTTCGAAAACGCACAGGGTGGCCCCAAGACGGTCCAAGAGGCCCCGAAGACGGCCCAAGAGCGCTTCAGGAGAGTCCCAAGACGGCCTCCCAGAGGCCCTCCCGAGGCAAATTTCGAAGATTTTGGATGGTTGTTTCTAGTGTTTTCTAGATGGAAGGGCTTCTGGTCCGGCCACACGACACTACATGGTGGTCCCAGGAGTCCCCATCACGCTCCAAGATTGCCGAAAAATAAGGCCCCGAAGGGAGTGCACAGATGCCCAGCAAGCCGCCGAAACGGCCCAAGACGCCCCCCAAGACATCCCAGAACGCCCCAGACGACCCCACGACGAACTCCGAGGCGCCCGACGACGGCCCCAACGGCCCTCGAAAACACCCAGGGTGGCCCCAAGACGGCCCAAGAGGCCCCCAAGACGGACTAAGGGCGCTCCAGGAGAGCCCCGAGACGGCCCAAGAGGCCCCCGTAGACGCCCCAAGCGCTCCAGGACAACCTCCCGCAGCCTCTGGAAGCAAGCATTGTGATCTTCTTGGCTGTCTTGTCCGATGCCTTCTGGCATGTTCCTGTTTCGGCCAGACACAGCTGCAGGACAGCCCCAGAGAGCCCCCCGCATCACGCTCCAAAGCTGCCAAAAGGATCCCGAAGGGAGCCCACACACAGCCCGACAGGCTGCCGAAACAGGCTCTGACGCTCCGAAGACAGCCCAGAACGCCCCTAGACGACCCAGTGACGAGCTCCGAGGCGCCCGACTGCGGCCCCACAGCGCTCGAAAACACCCTGGGCGGTCCCAGATAGCCCACGAGGCACCCAAGACGCCCCGAGGGCGCTCCAGGAGAGCCCCAAGGCGGCCCCAGAGGCCCCCCCAGACGACCCCACCACTGGCTCCGAGGCGCCCGACGACGGCCCCAATGGCGCTCGAAAACGCTCAGGGTGGCCGCAAGACGGCCCAAGAGCCGTCAAGACGGATCAAGAGCGCTCCAGGAGAGCCCCGGGCCCCCTATAAGACACCCAAGGGCGTTGCAGGAGAGCATCCCGGAGGGCCCCTGGAGCGAAGATCTGGTGATTTCTGTTGTCGGAAGTGGGGGGGTGATATCGGAGTGGAACAGAGAGCCCCCCACCGGGAAACCGGTTTCCGTTTCTGGTTCGTGTCGCGCGTGCGGGCAAGGCAAAGCTGCGCGGGCGGGCGAGAGGGATGACTCCGGTGTGGCTATGGCGGGTCAAGACAAAAGACCGCCCCTCCGGTGGGCCGGCGTGGCCGGGGTGTCCCGCTGTGGCGTCCCGCCGTGGTATCCCGTCGTCATCCTGTCGGTGTCCGCGGGCGGTGACCCGGGGGGGTCCCGCCGTGGTGTCCCGTTGGTGTCCCGAGGGTGTCGCGCCGTGTCCCGTCTGTGTCCTGTGGTGTCCCGTCGGTGCCCCGTCGGTGTCCCGCCGTCGGTGTCCCTCCGTCGGTGTCTCGCCGTCGGTGTCCGGTCGGTGTCCCGTCGGTATCCCAATTGGTGTCCCGATTGGTGTCCCGTGGGTGTCCCGATTGGTGTCCTAATTGGTGCCCTGATGTTGCCCTGGTGGTGTTTCGATGGTGTCTCGATGGTGTCCCGTTGGTGTCCCGATGAGTGTGCCCCGATTGGTGTTCCGATGGTGTCCTGGTGGTGTGCTGGTGTATCGGTTGGCGTTTCGATTCGTGTCCCGATTGTGCCTTGGTGGTATCCCGATGGTGTCCCGATGTGTCCCTGACGGTGCCCTGATGGTGGCCCTAAAGTAAGGCGGTGCCCCGATGGTGCTCCGATCGCATCGAGGTGGTTTCCAGGATCGCTGGTGAGATCGATAATCCGACTTGGGGGGTGAGATCGAAGAGAACCCGAGACGCCAAACGCTTCACCACCACCTGGCAAACGTCACCACCAGACTCATCATCACACTCCTCACCGCCATATTCATCGTCAAAGGGTGATGGGGTCGAATAATTGCCACCGTCGTCATCACCATTATGCTTTCTCGCCAGCATCGCCAGTGTATTCGCCCATTGCCATCATGCATTGTCGTCAGCATCGTCGTCTTGCATCGTCGCCAACTCGTGAGGGCATCACCAGCATCGCCACCATCACAATCATCGCAGTTGTCCTCAGTTGGTTATTTCCCCCAACCTCCGTATCACCCCAAGGGTGGTCGTATAGGTTTTGCATCGTTTAAGAATTTTCTTTGACATCCCTGATACGGCCACACGACGCCACAGCAAGGCCCCAGAGGGCCTGCATGACGCTCCAAGGTTGCGAAACAGATCCCGAAGAGAGCCCACGGACAGCCCAGCAAGCCACCGAACCGGCACAAGACGCGCCCAAGACAGCCCAGAACGCCCCCAGACGACCCCACGACGGGCTCCGAGGCCCCCGACGACGGCCCCAACGGCGCTCGAAAACGCCCAGGGTGGCCCCAAGCCAGCCCAAGAGGCCCCCAAGACGCCCCATGAGCGCTCCAGGAGAGCCAAGGCGGCCCAACAGGCCCCCTAAGACGCCCAAGGGCACTGCAGAAGAACCTCCCCGGGACCCCCAAAAGAAAACGTTATCGATGTATGTTTCTTTGTGGAGGGCCTTCTCTGTGATATGTCTCTGGGATCTCCATGTTTCCGCACGGCGACGTCACAGGACATGTTCTTGGTTATTGCTTTTTCCGTGCTCTTTTGTTTGCTCTTTTGTAACATTTTCTGGTAGGTTCCTGTCTCGGCCAGAGGACGTAAAAGGACGACCCCAGAAAGCCTCCATCACGATCCAAGGCTGCTGAAAAATATCCTTAAGGGAACCCCAAACAAGCACAGCAGGCCGCCGAGGCGGGCACAAGACGAGACCAAGACAACCCAAAACAACCCCAAACAACCCCACAATAAACTCCGAGGCGCCCGACGACAACCCCAACGGCGCAAACGCCCAGGGTGGTCCAAAGATAGCCGAAAAGGCCCCCAAGACGCCCCAAAGGCGCTCCCCGAGAGCCCCAAGACGGCCAAATGGGCCCTGAAGGCGCCCAAGAGCGCTCCAGGAGAACCTCCCAGAGAGCCTCCAGACAAAATTCACAGATTTCTGACGGTGCTTGAAGTGTTTGCTGGGATGTCCCGATGCTGACTGACGGGTGGAGACACAACAGGGTTGACCCTTTGCACCATGACACTTTCTAAGACACAACAGGCGTGATGCTTAGAATGCCCAGCGCCTGGGGCACCCCCCCACGGACTTAACGCCTCTTGGGCGCGAACTGGGGGAGAGGACGACGAGAACGGCGACGACGACGACGACGACGATGACGACGACGACGGCGACGGCGACGGCTACAACGGCGACGTTGACGACGGCGACGACGACGACGACGACGACGACGACGACGAGGACGACGTCGACGACAACGACAACGACGACGCAAATTACCTCGCATCCCTGCCTCTGAGGTCCGTCTTCCACTACAGGCCTCAGCTTTTAGATTCTCTCGTCCGATCACTCCATGGGCATTGCGTCTCCGCGCGCGGGCTTGTGATTCGGGCGCACAGTTCTCCTGCAACGGCCACAGTCGTCGGTGCTGGTCCTCTTCCTCTGCCCTTCCCTGCCTCCCTCAGTTCTTTCCTTCCCTCCTTGATCTCGCTCCATCCCTCCTCTCCATCCATTCTCCACTCCGTCGTTGTCGTAGTCGTCGTCGTCGTATCATTGGGGCTTGTGGGCACTTCTTGGGCGCCTCCTGGGGGCCTCTTGGCCGCCTTCTGGGGGCCTTTTTTGGAGCCTTCGAGCGGTTTTCGGTGGCCTCTTGGCGATCTCGGCCGCCGCCAGTTTGGCGCAAGAGAGCTTCTGGGGCTACTCGCTTTCCCCTTGCGGGGTCGAAAACATTGACCTTCGGAATGGGTTTGTTTGGGCCTGGAGATAGTTTTTAAGCTTACCCCGAAACCCATTTCGAATTCTCGGCGCTGCAATCCATCGCCACGGATTCAAGGAAATCAGCCACATACAATCCGATTGATCCGCAGGGGCACCCAGAAAAGCGCCTGGAGGCCCAAATCCGCTCGAGAGCGGCTGGAAACACAAGATTACCAGAAACGCAAGGTTGCCAGAAGAGGGAAGCCCGAGAGAAGACCCCGAACAGAAAATCCAATCGTTGCGCTCCAACGAGCCCCCTGGATACCCAAGCAGTCTCCGTCATAGACCTGGTAAGAAGCCTCGAAGAGGCCGCCGAAGACCACCAGTGGCCTGAGAGCAGCAAGAAGAAGTTACACCGGAGAAAACCCCAATCAGTGGATGGTCCGAAAGCTTTACAAGCACCATGCCGGGCCGCTGTTTCGCAAGAGGGCTATTGAGAGACTAACTCATTCATTAAAGGGTTGTGGCATCTTCGCCATTTCGGGCATTCGTCGGCTCAAAAGGGCCCAGGAGGTTTTTTAATTGCCACAGGACGGCGCACGAGGGGCCTAAGATGACCCAGGCGGGCCTCCAGAGGTTCCCTCGACGGCCTGAGAGGGCCCCTCGACGACTCAAGAGGGCCACAGCACGTCCCCACAAGGACACGGAAAAATGATCAGCATCAGCAAGAGAGAAATAGAGAAGAGAGGAGGCGCGCATCGAAAGCCGCCCATCGAGAGCTGCCCACCCAGAGCCGCCCACCGAAATCGGCTGGCTATTTTCGCCCATCTCTTTTGTGTCCACTAGGACCCCTTCAGTGTAAGCGCTGATTGGTGAATTACAATGAGCCCCCAGCACGAAGACTCACTAAGCTTTCTGAGAATAGCTCGGGAGACCTTCCACCTGACCTCGACAAACATCCACGAATCCTCCGACATACATACCAGTCACCGAAAGGGCAAGCACCCCCAGCGCATCCAACCGTACATGCGGAACGGCATGTGTACATATAGCAGTGGCAGCAACGGAAATCGTCATGGTTTCCATCGAAGACGCGACGGTGTTTTTAGTGGCTTGAGTGGCTATAGTGACGGAGGCGTTGTGGTGCAGTGGTTTCAGTATGTCTATAGACACGCACATACATGCATACATACATGCATACATGCATGCGTACATACCAACATACATACGCGCGTACGCACAGGCATATAAGCACACACACAGACAGACAGACAGACAGGCAGGCAGACAGACAGACAGACAGACAGACAGACAGACGGACAGACAGACAAACAGAAAGACAGACAGACAGACAGACAGACAGACAGACAGACAGACAGACAGACAGACAGACAGACAGACAGACAGACAGACAGACATATATCAAAGTTACACATGTATACACATGTACGCCCCTCCGCCCCAGGGCCCCGCCCACGTCGGGAACATCTTCGGCAAATGTCAGTACCGCCTTCCTGGGCTTCCAAGAACGCCCCGGGAGGGCCTCACGACGGCTCAGCACCCCCGTGACAGGCAAGAGTGCCCCAAGACGACCGGCGACAGCTTCCCGACAGCCCAAGAGACCACAACGAGCGCCATAGAGACTCGCAAGACCGCCCGAAAGAGTTTTAAGGAAGGCTTCGAGAGGCCCAAACTTGCAGAAATTGTTGACGCTTCGCGTATCCCCACCAGCCCATCCAGAAACGATGCTCAGGGGAGTTGAGGTGATCAGGGAAGTCGGGGAGCATGCAGAATAACAAAGGGCGGGGGAAGCTGTCACAGACCCCGAGAGGGGGAGGATGGAAGAGGAGTCGTCGTCGTCGTCGTCGTCGGAGGAGGAGGGGGAAGAGGAGGAGGAGGAGGAGGAGGAGGACGGAGAAGGAGGAAGAATCGGAGGAGGAGGAGGAGGAGGGGAAGGAGCTTCTTGGGGGTCTTTTGAGGGCCTCTTGGAGGGCTTTTTGGGCGCCTTGGGGCATCTTGGGCGCCTCTTGGGACCCTCTTGAGGCGCTCTGGGGAGCCTTCGGGGCGCTTTTGGGGCCATCTTGGAGGGAGTCGATCAAACAAGAGGGGGGGTTTAATTAGCGTCCCCCCTCGGAAGCCCCTAAAATCGCCTCTTGGACCCCTCTTGGAACGCTCTTGGAGTGCTCTTGGGCGCTCTTGGGGCCGTCTTGGGGCTCTTTTGGGGCTCTCTTGGGGCCCTCTTGGGCCATCTTGGAGCCATCTCCAGGCCTCGGATGGCCATCGGAAGCGAAAAGGCGAGAAAGCAAAAATCATTGATTTTCCTTAGGTTTTGGGACGATTTTGGCCTCTTCGGGGCCTCCTTGGGGAGCTGTTTGGCCACTTGGAGTTATCTTGGGGCCGTCTTTGGGCTTCTTGGAACCATCTTAGGAGCCATCTCGAGCGATCTTGCGCTATCTTGAGCCATCTTGGAGCTCATCTTGGGTTCTCTGAGGCGCTCTTGGAGCCGTCTTGGGCCATCTGGGACGCTCTAACTACCCGCGGCCCCCCCCGTCCAGGTCCAGGGGAGGGGGTAGGGGGAGGGGTAAACCCCTCCCCAAGGGGGAAGAGGGAGGGGTGGAAGAGGATCTGCTCTAGACCACCTACGCCCAGAGGGCTGGTGGGACTTGAGGAAATGTATAAATTGTGCCTTCGCGATTTTCGTTTCCGATCTGCGTCCGAGGCTGCCGCATGATCCCCACCAGGACCCGAAGCTGCTCCCGAGGGGCTCCCCGAGAGACCCCAAGAGGCTCCCAAGACGCCCGAAAAGAGGCTTCCAAGATGCTCTGGAGAGCCCGTCCGCAGCCATTTTGGCTCAAGGCTGCAGCCGCTGGCTCCGCCTGGCCACCCCGCCCGCCCACCCGCGCGCGCGGGCCTGTCTGGCAGGGGTCCGCCCCGAGGCGGCGCGCGGTCGTGGCATGGACGGCCGGCTGCTCGCCAAGCTCGACCGGGTGCATTCGTTCCTTTGGAAGGACGAGGTAAGCGAAACTTACAGCTGCACCGTCCCCGGAGTACATGGGCGGGTGGCAGTGAAGGTGTTCATCAAAGTGAATCTGCGGGGCTCCAAGGAGGCGCAGGTGCTGAAAGACCTCGAACACCCGAACCTCATCCACCTGCTGCACGTCATTTCGTGCAAGCCCTTGTGCCTCGCGTACGAGATGTGCCCCGGCGGCACGCTGCGCTCTCTGCTCTCTTGGGCAAGCAGCAAGACGGGCGATCCATCGAGTCAGCAGCCGGGGCTCACTGTGGATCACCGACTGCAGGCGGTCGCCCAGACAGTCTCCGCCGTGGCGCACTTGCACAAGAAGGACATCGTTCATTCTGCCGTGAGGCCGGACAACATCTTTCTCGCTCACCCAGTGGGCCACGGGCCTGAGGGCATCGTCGTGCCACAGGTGCTGTTGGGCGACGTGGGCTTGTCCCGTTTCTTGGAAGACGAGGTCGAACAAACCCCTTCATTCGGCACTTTGAACTACATGGCGCCAGAGGTGCTGCTGCGAGCCTCATACGGCCTAGCCTCTGACGTATTCTCATGTGGCGTGATAATACACGAGGTGTTAACGGGCATTGTGCCGTACAGCGACCTGAACATCGCAAGCCATATCTTAGTGTTGAAGGTATGTGCGGGCCTACGGCCGAATATCAGTCTCTTACACGCATGTGGCGCGGCCAAGCTGCAGATAGCAAGCATCTTGGCTTTCGCATGGGATGAGGACGTTAACACCAGGACGACATCGGAAGAGTTCGAACTAACTCTTTTCGGTTTGATTGACAAGCGTCAGAAGGCCAGTCTGTAGACGGGGCACGATATGCACAGGAACTGGTGAGCGCGCGTCCCTTTGACAGCGTCTTACTCGCATGTCTGCTCCGCCAACAAAACCGCTGCCGCCACGTCGGGTTCGCGTGTCTCTGACCCTCTTGCCGCACGGCTGTGTGAGGTCGCCCGCCTCGTCATCATCACTAAGTGTTACGCCCGTGACATGCCCACGTACATGCGCTTTGCTTGTGCAGTTGTCAAGTTCCGCATCCATCTCTTTCTAAATTTCTTTCTTGTCTGCCGTCCACGACGATGGCGATGAGCCTGGGAACGAGGAGCCACAGACAGTGAAGCAGCACCCCTGCCAGACACTTTGCCGTTCCCGCTTGCTCTGGGACATTTGCCCCGGCAGCGAGAAGCGAGCCTATCTGATCTAGCGTTTGCCGCGCAGCTCGGCCGTTGCTTTATGCTGCAGTCGTTGGAACTGGCAAACGCTCGAGGCTGTTCCTAAGTATTATGTCCATCTGCTCGGTTTGTGTTGAATACGTCCTGGGCGTTGGCCATTTTTTCCGAGTCCTCCTCCGGCAATGACCAGCCAAGTTGAATCCGCAGCGCCGCGCCCCACCTGCCTCCCCCCCTCCAACCCCTCCTGTGCTTGCTCCGCAGCCCCCATATTCGCATTGCCCCGTGGCGCTTTGCACATGCGGAAGCAGCGTTCCACTCCGTTTCTTTATCGGATGTAGAAGGACTCTGATTTCTGACCACCCCCCTGCTCTGGTTGGGCTTACGCCAGCCCGTGGGAACCACACTTTTAACTGTTGCGCGCCTGGCAAAAAAAAACAATGCGCCCGCGCTCGCAGCCGCTCTTCGGGATCGCTCAGGCGTGTGTGCACGTTCCGGATGCTAGCGTAGAGGATGTGCAAGGATCTCGAGATTCTGCTAGCCATCCCCAGTAGCTTGGGTCGAGCCCACGCCCGCCCATGGAAGGCACTCTTTTTCAATTTCAGAACTTGTTGTCTCAATGAATTGTTCCGCGCCGGCCACTTTCCAAGGGACACAGCCACATTCCGAGCATGGGGCATGGAAACAAGGCTTGGTATTTTCACGAAGTTGCATGTGGGCTCAACAGGCTCGCGTTTTGACTTCTGCAGCACGGTCGCCCCTCTTTTTCATAGAGCGTCATTCAGACGGCAGGCTGGGTTCTTGAGTAGGGCACGCACAGCCAGGGTGAAACATCTAGATGAGGAGGAGGAGGAGGAGCAGGAGAAGGAGCAGGAGGCGGCAGGGCGGAGGCGGGGCAGAATGCTACGTTCAGCTGAGGCGTGCCTGTTGAAGCAGTTATTTCGTCGCCCCGAGGGAAGCTGGCCTGCGGCCTAATACAAACAGGAAGCGCTGACCCTCTGGCAACCGCTGCGAATTCCAAGCCTTGCTGCACGTTTCGGGGCGACAGAACGGCGCCGCGTGGCCCGGCTCCAGCACGTGATTAGTGCAACGGTGTTCCGAGCAGTCGGGCGCCGCCGCAAAGGCTGGGGTGGGCCCGCGCGTTGTGGAGCTTTGGCGGCAGGTTCCGGGGGGTCGTTTCAAAAGTTCATCGCCCACTCGCAGGGGAGGAGGCGAGCCGGGAGGAGGGAAGAGCGGGGAGGATGGAGGAATGTGGCCAGCGGGCCTGGCCAATCCCGACCGCAGTTTTCAGTCGACTTTCACTGCCCAAGAATATACATGCAACTCAGCGGGCGAAGAGCAGTGTAACATAAACTTTCCCGTCACCGGGGGCGCGTACCCCAGGGCGGCTGGAAAGTTCATACCCTGACGTGCCACCGTAGAGGTATAAACTTTCCAGCCGCCCTGGGACAGACGCCCCCGACGGCGAACAAGTTTATGTGATACCGTTCTTCGCCTGCTAAGTAAAGATGGAATAGGGCCCGACGGAAATTTGGAGAGGCAGCGTGGCGAGGAGCCATCAGCATGGCATCGTAACAACCAGGCTGTGGCGCACGCGACCCGTGCTTACGGCCCCTGCAAGTTGACGGGACAGTACACCTTAGGCGATGCTTAAGAAAACTTAAGTTTTCGGCCAGAGTCTCGATGTTTCTTAATGTTTCAATGCAAATCCCAACATTTGAATAGCCATTCTGGGTTTGATGTAAAATTCTGAGACTATGAATTTCTTAACCCATGATTTCTAAAGCACTTCGCAGGGTGTACATAGCACCACCCCATCCATCTGGAGTTGTGTAGCCTCTCGGGCATCGTCGGGTGAGCGCCGCAAGCAGACGGGGCCTGAGCGGGCCGTGGCCATGAAAATTCCGCCTCGGCCATCCCGCTTCCGAAGATCCAGCTTTTTCCGTGCTGGATTGTACTCGATGCCCCGATCTTCTCTCGTCGGAGACAACGGTGCGTAACCCTGGTATCGTTGACCAACAAAAATGCAGAGAGCCCGCAGGAGACGCCCAAGAGGCTCCCAACAGACCCAAGAGCCCCGAGAGGCCCCAAGAGATGCCCCCAAGAGCCTCCCAGAAGGCTTTCACCCTCAAGTGGGCCCCCAGGAGACTCCCACGAGATCTCCAAGAATACAGACGAGGAGCAGAGCTGGATGAGGGTGATGGCGGAGGAGGAAGAGGAGGAGGAGGAGGAGGAGGAGGAGGACGAGGAGGACGAGGAGGACCAGCAGGGGGGGGGGGTCGAACGATGAGGAGGAAAAGCCGGAACGGGAGTAGGAGGGGTCAGAGGAGGCGGCCAGAGGAGGCGGGAGGAGGAGACGGAAGCGGAGGAGAGAAGTTGAAGGAGGAGATGGACCCGGAGGAGGCCGAGGCAAAGGAGGCAAAGGAAGAGGCAGGCGAGGTTACTCAGAGGCCATGAACATCGATGGATTTCTGTATTTGCATAGTGCTCCTGTTTTCACGTATCGTCGATGCTCGAGGGCACGTCCTCGAAATTCGGCCTTGATTTGGTTTAGGACGCTAGAGGTCTGGTGGTTTGGGCGGCCTCTTGCAATCCACCCTCCGCTGACTTCACTCGGCGGTGCGCAGAGGAGCGTGCCGCGAGGGTTGAGATGTTTTTCGAAGGTTCCTATCTCATCATCCTTCTCTCCTCCCGTATCCATGTCTCCACCTGTCTCTTCCCTGCTCCGTCCTTATCCTTCCTCTCTCCTCCTTATCTCTCCCTCACTCCTTCCTCCCGTCGCCCCGCTTCCCGCGTCACTAAAGGGAAGGCGACTCCCATGTGAACAACAACCAAAATTCCTGTTTTCCTTGTTTCAAATCACTCCAGCGCCTGGCGTGGGCGTAGCAACCTCCTCTGGCGGCTCCGTAGGGTCCCAGACACCCCAAGATGGTCGCCAGATTGCCTAAGAGGTTCCCAAGACGGCCTGAAATGTCCGCAACAGCGGTCCAAAACGACCCAAGATGGCCCCAATACGGGCTCCAGGAAGTTCAACGCCGTCTCACTTTTGTGGGAACGCATACCTTTTTAGCACACTCGCTTTCTGGATCTTCACAGCGTCCACGACGGCCAAACAGGCGCCTGAGGGGGCTCCGAGACTGCTCAAGGGGGCCTCAAGACGGCCCAAGAGGGCGCAACTGCGGCCCCAGAGAGCTTCAAGGCGGCCCAAGAGGTTTCCAGACCGAGCCCACGCGAACTCCAAGGGAATCCCTGCAGGGTGCCAAGAGAGGTCGTGAGGAATTAAATTGGCGGGCGCAGCATCCAACATGCCCCCAATATTCTGCCAGACGGCATGGGGAAGCGAGGCGAAGCCCGCCATAAGGGGTTCGGGCGCAACCAAGCAGCCAAGGGCGTTCGGGAAGTAACCGGGAGGAGTTAGCAGGCAGACCGCAGCAACGGCGGCAGGCGTTGAGTGGCAGGGAGGCGGCTTCAAGCCGCACACCTTCGAGAGACTCGAGTAGCACTGGCAGGAGTGGCCCTTCATGACGAGAGCCTTCCTCGGAGGGCAGACGCGGGCATCTCAGCGCCCGCTGAGGGTTGCCAAGGATTCCAGGCTCGAGCCTGACATGCCGGCAGAACGCATCTAGAACTCGCTGGATGACGAGGGCACCGCGGCAAACCAGAAGATGTTGTTCAGCGAGGTCATGACCGTGAAAGGCAGCACTTGAATGATCAGACGAGGAACTGAACAAGATAACGGTGCAGCAGATTGGGGATCCCTGTGCAGGAGGTGCGAAACAGCTATGGCGTGTCGGACCCAGAGCATCATGACAAGCATCCCGAACGTCAAGCAGTTCCCACATGCACTAGTGGACTTCAGGGATACTCACGCGGAAGGTGGACGCGACACCACGCGGTATTAGAGGGCCCCCAGGAAAGTTCGAATCGCGGGCGCGAAGAAGAGCATCTACCTCCAGAAGGTGCCCAAGAACATCAAAAAAGATGGCCCAGATGGCAAGCGAGCGGACCTACGACGAGCACGTGGCGGCCACCATCCAGCACCTCCAGGCGGCGACGATCGATGACGATGGGCACTGGAGGTGCCCACCCCTTCCACCTAGACCTGCAAGGGGCCCCAATTCCTTGGAGGTCGACGGGCTCACGAGGGCTTGTGGCCTGGGCAGAGACTGGGACCACGGCGGCAAGGGCGTCGGTGGTAGGGAGAGCAAGGGCAATGGAGGCAAAGGAGGAAAGACAGGAGGAATTACAGGTGGGAAGACGAACCAGACGGACACTGGACCCGAGCGTTTCCATTGCGGGCGCAGGTGCCACTACGCAAGGGGGGCCGCTGGCGCCCAGCCCAGGCGGACCGCAAGGCAGGACCCAAAGGGAGCGCAGGGGCCCCAGGGGCAAAGGCAGGGAACGGACCAGCCAAGGCGCTTCGGTCAGCGAGCTCTCAGCGCAAGTGGATGCTCGGTCGTTGGTGGGCTCTCCACCCGGCAGTGCGGCGGCATCAGCCGCAGGGCCCTCGGCCAGCCAGATCGGGGCACCTGGGCCCCAGGCGCAGGCGACGCCGGGAAGGGTCTCATCCACCGCGCAGCAGGCGACAACCGCCGAGTCCGATCTGGAGCCAGGCTACATTTTCGCGGTGACGGAGACGCCCAGGATCAGCAACGCGAGAACCGAGGGCGAGTGGACCAGCATGATGATGCTGACTGACAGACGCGTTGACGAGCATACGCGTGGCCAGCACGATTTCCCGCGGGTGTCCAGAACACCCAGCAGGAACCCGAATTTGGCGGCGGCAAACGGCACCCCGCTGAAGCACTACGGCAAGAAGACGGCGGCACACTACATCGCGGGCAACCGCGAGATCCCCCCATCATGAGAGTCGGCAAGTTCCGAATGAGGCACGGCAGCCGAGTGGCGCGGCACGACGGACAAGCGGGAGCACGGCGACGCGAGGCGAAAGGACTCGTCAAGGTGGAGAATGTCAACGACCACGGTCGCGCCCAGGACTGCTCGATGGCGAGCGGCACGATCGCTGCGCGAATTGGAGCAGCAGCCGCAGCGCGACCAGGAGAGGAGGGCGACGGCCGCGCAGTAGAGCGAGCGCTGCGATGTGGACACTAGCTCAGGCAGCGGGGCCCCCTCCAGCGGCAGGTGGACCACTGGCGCAGGCAGCAGAGGCACGGCCAGCAGCGGATGCGCTGGCCGATGCGCCCACGGCGACCCCCGACGATCGCGCCCACCCGGAACCCGAGGCGGCAGCGCGGGCGATCGCGGGGCCACGCGAACCGAGCCCAGAGGAGATTGAGAGGCACGAACTAAGGCACTACCCAGCAGAACCCCGGCGCGAGGCCCGCGCGCAGGTGGAGGCCAATGACGCGGCGCACAGGGGGGGGGGTGACAGGGGGCGCCGGCATTTCGCTGATCAGTTTCGATTGCGGTCAGCCAGGAGAGAGGGCGATCCAGTCGACTTCGAGTTCGCGGTCGGGAACGACGCCTCCACGGGTCGCACGTGGATCGCAGCCGTGATCAAGAAGGGCCGCAACGACCCTTGCACGGTAGCCTCAGCGGCGTCGCGGGCGGCTGATGCGGGGCACGCACGAGTCGCACTACAGCCGGCGGGAGCAGCAGAGTCGCCGCGCCTCACGGCGGCGAGGAAGAAGTCGCTGAACCACAGGATCTGCTGGGCCACCCGGGCGAGGCAGGCGGAGAGGCACATCTACATCTCCCAAGCCAACGGACGGGCAGAGAGCGCCACCCAGATAGCGACGAAGCAGGCGAGGACCCCCATCTTGGCGGCGCCGAAGAAGATGGGGCACCATCACTTCAAGTCAGCCCCCCCGTTCCTCGCGCGGCCCCAGCGCCTCGCAGCGCGGCCTTGCAGCAGGCGCGCAGCAAGGAAGGACACCAACCCGACGCCCGACGACAAGACACACGTGCTGAAGCACCAGAAACCGATCGCGGCAGCCAACGAGGCGGTGATCCGCAGGCGGCCAAGAGCCCAGGTCAACAAACTGGAGCCCTCATTGCTGGAGGGCACCCGGCCGGGCAGAGACGCCAGGACCGACGGGCGCACTATCGGCGCCCCGACGGGAATCGCCAGATCCGGGGCGATCATGCGGAAGGTGGAGAGCAGAGAGCAAGCGTTGGGGCCCAGCCTCTGTTCGACAAGATGGCCCAGGCGCCGCGGTGGGCGACCCCGGCTTTGAGGGGGGGGCCGCCGACGCGGAGATCGATCCAGGGACCGATCATCTAGGGGCCTGCCCAGGATAGCAGAGGCCCCGATGCCGGCCCAACCGGTCGAGGCGGCGGGGGCAGCAGCGCCGGCAGGAGGAGGAACCCCATAAAGATGAGGAGCTCTATCGGGAGAAGGAACACCAGGAGGAGGAAGCCCGCAAGGAGGAGGAGCCACGGCAGGAGCTTCAGCAGCAACGCGCGCTCTCGGACCCGCGGCAGCAGCACCGGGACGCCCCGCAGCATTCGACGACATGGACGTCGATGGGGCCAGACTGCAAATAAGCGCTGCAAGCATAGGTCACCTACGGACGTGGATCCATCGCCATGTGCGAGGAGGCCGACGGCGGAGGGCGACGAGGTCCACGCAGACGGAGGCGACGTCCAAAATGGCAGGGCGGAGCACTTCGAGAAGACCGCGGGCGACGGCAGGCAGATCGGCGAGATCGCCGAGGCGACCTCCAAGATCTTGACAAGCAAGCGGGTCGACATCAACCAGGCCGACGGCAGCAGAAGGAGCCGGGGGGCCACCTGGGGATCCGAGCCGCAGACTTACGGGCATGAGGACTTTTCGGCCGCCACCCGGTCGTTACCACACCTAGAGGCGATGCTCGTCAACGCGGAGGCGAACAGCCACGCGGTGGCACTCGGCGGCTACAGCGAGGCATTCTACCGGGCGCCCCTGACGGAGGACATGATCTTTTTGGAGCCACCGCCCGAAGCAGGAGCACCAGCAGGTCACGCGCGGGAAGCGCTGCGCGCGTTTCCAGGAGTCAAAGAGGCGGCCGAGGCATGGGGGGATGACGGCGCAGCGACGATGGAGCAGATGGGCCTCGATCTAGGGCGCCACGACGGTTGCGTTTTCACGATGGCCCGGGACAAGGTCGGGGCAGGGCGACACGCTCATGACGTCCTCGCAGCAGGGCCCTTGGAGCGGGCAGACCAACTACCGGCAGAAATGGGCGAGAAGTTCGGGCTCTCGGACGCGGTGAAGTTGCAGAACGCAGTCGACAGGGGCACGTTCCTGAGCGCACAGGTTCACAAGATCGAGGGCGGCTTTACAATCCAGGGCGAGACGTCGCCGATCGAGGAAGTGCGACTGGAGCTCGGGTTGCAGGCAGCGAAACCCTCAGTAGACCTGGGGACGAAGAACTAGGCCAAGCGGAAGGACGACGACGAGTTCCTGAACGCAGAGGGACACGGCGCACACAGGATGCGCGTGGGGGAGCCACTACACATGCCAAGCCACAGGGTAGACATACAGCGCGGAGTTGGAGCGCTTAGTCTCAGCATGTCCGCACCGACTCATAGAGACCAGCGTGGGCTGAAGAAGATGGCAAGGTATCTGACAGGGACCAAGGACGCGGAGTTGGTATGACACCAGACAAACACACCGAACATATTGCGCAGTGCCGCACAGACGCAGACTCGGCAGGCAAAAAGGACGAGAGGATCTCAGCCAGCGGCGGCGCACTGAAGTACGACGGGTGCACTGTTCTGTCGCGGGCACAGCGCCAAGGCGGCGTAGCCATCAGCTCAGTGGAGCGCGAGCTGTACGCATTAGGACCCAGAACAGCCGAGGCGCTCGGAGCGGCATCTCTGCTAAGCGAATGGCACGCGAACGCGACGCTTGCCCTGGGAAGCGAAAGCAGCAGCGCACTACACATCTTGAAGAAGAGAGGACAAGGTAAGATGAAACACATGGAGATCATATTCTTGGCCCTGCAGCAGCGGCGCGAGCAGAAGCGCCTGGAGTTCGAAAAGGTCCACGCGGACGATATAGAAGCAGACACGCTGACGAAGCCGATGATCCAGGAGAAGCTCGTGAAGTTCTCCCGCAGCGTAGGCTTAGTAGGCGGACCGTTCCGCCCACTTAGCGACGACGAACTAGCTGAGGCAGCCCGGAAAGCCGGCAGCAAGAAGAGAGGCTCGAGCCAGTAGAGTGGCTAGGAAGCACCAGCCCTGAGCGGTGCTGGTAGCAGCAGACATTAGACAGACGGCAATGCCAACGTGCATTGTTCCACAGAGTTTTCCAGGATACCCCCACCCTTCACGATTCCTGTGCGCTAAGGAGCACCTGGCAGAACCGAGGGCGCGCTGAGGGCAAGAGTAGCATGCAGCATGTATGCTAGAGAACCAGAGGCAGCGGAGTAGCAGGGTAGGTAGAGACGCTGCTCCCAACCATCGGGTCGTTCCAGCTTGCTTCCCGCGCGCTGCATGGCATGAGCTTGATACGCGCCCTCTGCGGAGCCTCTCTGGCACGAAGAGCATCACCACATCACATACGTGCCGCCATTTTTCTTCACGACTCGGAGGCGCGTGGATATTCCTCGTTCTTCCCCCCTCCCCCTCCTTGGACGAAGGTTTTTTTGCAATCCTTCGTTCTTCCCCCCTCCCCCCTCCTTGGCCCGACGCAGGAAGCACACGCGAATGGCCGCGCGGGCTGCGAGCCGCCTCGATCTGCGACTGGAGGGGGGCCGCGGCCCCACCAGCAGGGCCAGCTTAAGGAGAACCCCACCTCCTCCTCCTCCTCCTCCTCCTCCTCCTCCTCCTCCTCCTCCTCCTCCTCCTCCTCTCCCTCCTCCTCCTCCTCCTCCTCCCCCTCCTCCTCCCCTCCTCCTCCTCCTTCTCCTCCTTCTCCTCCTTCTCCTCCTCCTCCTCCTCCTCCTCCTCTTCCTCCTCCTCCTCCTCCTCCTCCTCCTCCTCCTCCTCCTCCTCCTCCTGGTGGGCCGCACCCCGGTGGGCCCCCAAATGGCCCAGCGATAAGTAGCAGCAATCCTGTGGACAGTCGCTGGGGTCGCGTCGCCTCGCCCCGTTGGCCAGGCGGGCCTGGTGCCCTGATCGGCAGCTCAGGCCTGCTCAGGGCCGGGCGGCCCTGCTCGCACAGAGGGGGAGGGAGCTGCCACGCAGGGGAGCGCGAACTCATGTTGACGATGCTTTCCAAGGTGTCCAGGGTTCCCTAGATTTGCGAATGTCCCACACGGGCTTCAGAGACGAGGTCATGATTACCTTAGGTATCTCCGCCTTGTGGCCCCTGCACTTTCTTGCGGTCGAGTGCCCGGCCCTGCTCCAAGGCAGAATGTTTGGGGAGCGGCGGGGGGCGGGGGGCAGCGGAGTGGGGCGGAGCTGGGACGGGGGGGGAGGGCAGGGAGCGGAGGGGGCAAGGTAGAGGCGGGCAGGGGATGGGAGTCAGAAGAGCAAGAGGTCATGAGAGGGATACGTTCCAAGATCTCCTGGGTTTCCAGGAGTTCCGAGCTTTCCGCACGGGCTGCAGAGACGAGAGCCGCCAGGTGCTCTGGAAGCCCCGGAACGTGTCCTGAGCCGATCCTGTCATGACGAGACTCGTTTTGGCAATTTCGTGTACCGTGTTCGTTGTTTCTTTCGTTTTGCAGCAAAGGTGGAACGAAGACAGAACGAGGGATGGCGAAAGCAAAACGAACATGGAAAACACGGTTTAGCTCGAGCCCTGATTCTCGTCCTGATTGCATCAGACAGGCGCAGCGTTTGCGCAAATGCCACTTCAGACCAGCCGACCCCTCCTTTCGTGTCGGACGAAGGGGGGGGGATAGGGAAAGGAGGGGCTACGAAATCTGCTGCGTGCAGCCGGTCTCCGCCTCGCCGCCTGGGCTCACTCCTCGACACATCGGCGCCTCCCGGCGCCAGGAGGCGCCAGGAAAACCAGCTACATGAGTTGATTCTCGACGCTCCCTTTTGCTATCTTGCACGCAAGACGCTGAAATAAGAAACAGTTTGGGTTCGGAAGGGCCTCGATGCTCCTTGAGTCCTTCCGTAGCTGTTCTTCTAGCCCTCCTCGTGAACGAAGGCGGCGCTGGGGCATGAAAGGGGTCCCGTCCCTTATTTGGCGCTCCTGGCTTCAACGGTCCGACTATACCCTGTCGCCCAGGGCTGGACCTAAACGCTGTTGTTCTGGATTTCGGCTATGTTTGATTTTTTCGTTTTGGCAGGGAGGTGCATGTAGAGCAAAACGAAAACAAAACGAAAAACAACGTTTAGGTCCAGCCCTGCTGTCGCCCCCCCCCCCGATCTGTGCCTCCCGCCCTGCGCTCTGACCCCTTGCGTGCCGTGCCGCCGCGGGGACCAGGCCGCGAGCGGCGGCGCGGGCGCCGCCGGGCCGCTCCTCAGCGACGATTACAAGGGACCGCGTGCGGGGAAGGGGGGGGCAGCCACGGCAGGCGGCGCGGGAGTTGGGTGGGGCTTCTCGGTCTCTTGTCGTGTCCTTGTGCTGTCTCGTTCCTATCATATTGCTGTTGTTTCTAACTCTATGTGTGTGTGTTGTTTTCTCTCTCTCTCTCACTTTCTCTGCGTTTGTGAATGTTTATATATATGTGTGTATCTATACATATATATATACATATACATATACATATATATATATATATATATATATATATATATATATATATATATATGTATCTATGTATTCAGACGCACCTCTCCGAGGGAGTAGAACTCCTCGGGGCGATGAATTCCCGTCCCGCTCGGGATTTGTTTGGCCGTTTCGCTAGAGACACCCTCAATGTTCTGAAAAGCGGTGGCGCCCCTCACGCAGACCGCGACGTCAGGGGGAAAACAGACACAGTTTTCCTCAAACAGTTTCAGATGAAAACGTCAAAGAAAAACAATGGAAGTCAATGATGTTGAACCCGATTCTTCAAATTAGCCTGGCGAAGGACCCAACCATATGCAGATGGGAATAAAGCAGTTGTAGGTACCGTCTTCGGTGAAGCCCCTTTGTAGGGCCACGAAACGCTGTACTGGGTGGGGGAGACGCATGCGGACTGCGCCACTGGAGCCTTCGGTGGAGCTCCCTATGGAGCCACGAAAAGCTGTACTGCGTAGCGCAGACGCATGCGGGCTGCGCCGCTGGGAGCCTTCGGTGGAGCTCCCCTATGGGGCCAGGAGACGCTGTACTCGGCGGGGGAGACGCATGCGGGCTGCGCAATTGGGGCTTTCGGTGGAGCTCCCTATGGGGCCACGAAACGCTGTACTGGGCGGGGGAGACGCATGCGGACTGCGCCACTGGAGCCTTAGGTGGAGCTCCCGAGTGGGCCACGAAACGCTGCACTGGGTGTGGCGGACGCATGCGGGCTGCGCCACTGGGACCTTAGGTGGAGCGCCCTATGGGGTCACCAAACGCTGTACTGGGTGTGGCGGACGCATGCGGGCACCCCCGCTGGAGCCTTCGGTGGAGTTCCCTATGGGGCCCCACTGGGGCCTTCGGTGGAGCTCCCTATGGGGCCACGAATCGCTATACTAAGTGTGGCGGACGCATGCGGGCACCCCCACTGGGGCCTTCGGTAGAGCTCCCTATGGGGCCACGAAACGATGTACTGGCTGTGGCGGACGCATGCGGGCTGCGCCTCTGGGGCCTTAGGTAAAGCTCCCGATGGGACCACCAAGCGCGGTACTGGGTGTGGCGGACGCATGCGGGCACCCCCACTGGGGCCTCGGGAAAACTCCTTCTGGGGCAACGAAACGCTGTATTGGGTGTGGCGGACGCATGCGGGCCCCCACTGGGGCCTTCGGTGGAGCTCCCTATGGGGCCACGAAGCGCTGTACTGGGTGTGGCGGGCGCATGCGGGCACCCCCACTGGTGCCTTCGGTGGAGCTCCCTATGGGGCCACGAAACGTGTGAGGGGTATGCTGGAACGGGTGATGATGATGGGTGGTTCTCGACTTGTAATCGTAGAGCGATGGAGGGCCGTGCGGTCTGCAACCGCCAAGGCTCAAGCCTTTTCTGTGAGGGCCTCAGGCGGCCCACGCGCAGGGCGCGTGCAGGCGCTCGGTGGCCCATGGCGTGACGCTGGTCGCCTTCAACGCCTGCGCCGCCTGGCTGGGGCGCCTGTGGGGAGGCGCTCGCCCGCCGCCGGCTGCACGGGCAGCTCTGGCGCCGCGGCCGGCGCCCGCTCCCGCGCCGCCAGCGCGGGGTTGGACGGCGGCCTCGCCGCCGCCCGTCGCGCAGGTCAAGGACCTCTGCGCGGCCATCGCCCTGTGCTCGCCAGCGCTGGCCCAGTCCGCCTGGCACACCTGCCCCGACCCGCGCCCGGCCTGCCCCGAGCGGGAGCCTGGGCGTTGGTCGTGGGGCGGCGAGCTGGGCTTCGGGCCGCTCGCGCTGTTCTTGTGGAAGGTGATCACCCATTGCGTGGCCGCGGCTTGCGGCCTGGCGCGCTGCCTCGCTCGTGGCTTTTGGAGCTCGCTGCGGGGGCTACCCACCGATCGCGGCCCGCCGTTGTCGCTGGAGGATACCTCAGACCGTCGAGTACTCCGAGGGCGTGGACGAGTGTTGACGCCGGTTGAACATCGGCGATGAGGTGCTGGTGGCGTATGCAGTCCATGGGCCTGTTTTGCTCCATCGCCGTGTGGTGGTGCGTGTCAGCGCCGTGCAGCCCTTGCACGCAGCGGTGGTCTCGCCCGACCACGATCTCTTCGTTGAGCACTTCACCGCGGACAACGCGGACATCGCGGCTTGGCATCTCTGTGGGCCTGGAAGAGCTGCCCCCGCCGCCGCCATGGGTCGAGCGATCTATGACTTCCAGCCGCCGTTCTCAGTCCACGAGTTTTTCAGCTTCATGGCGGAGGCCGGCCGCCTCCTGGCGGCCCACGACGCGCAGCTTGGAGCTGCTGGCGGCGCGGGCGTGGGAGGTCCCACGCCCCTTGGCGGCGTCGGCGGCGGAGGAGGCCTTGGTGCGGCGGGGGGGCCCGGGGGCGGCCTGGCGGCTCTCCCCAACGGCGGCGGGGCGGTCGCAGGAGGGGGCGGCGGCGCGCTGGCTGGAGGAGGCGGCGCCGGGGCTGTGGCGCGCGCAGGCGCGGCTCCCCTAGGAGCCGGCGGCTCTGTGGCGGGCGCTGCCTTGGCGGCCGCGGGCGTTCCGGCGGCGGCCGCGGCAGCTGGTGGAGGAGCGGCGGCAGCAGGTGGGTCCACGGCGGCGGGCGGCGGCCATGCTGGGCCTGCTGCAGCTCTCGCAGATGGCGATGGAGGAGGTGGCCCCCCTGGACCAGCTGCTGGCGACGGCTTCGACACCTCAGGTTGCCGCACGATGGCAGCGCGTTACGACACGAATGGCCATCGCCACAAATCTTTCGCGGACGCTGTTCCGATCTTGGCCCCAGCCCAGTGGGGTGACTGGCCGGTCCCAGGGCCGCGGACCGTGGCGTGGGTGGTTCGCTTCATGCTGGAGAATGGCGGCAGCGCCCTCGGCCATCATGTGCAGTGTAGGTCGAACATCAGGCTCACGTTGGACGATATCACGGTCCCTACGCACCACGTGTTCAGCAAGATATTCGAGACCGCGCTGTGCTACGATCAGCCGGACATCAGCAATCTCGGAGCACTGGAGCTGGTGGTCCGCCAGCTGCAGTTGCGCGAGGAACGCTACTGCGACAAGATCCTCGGTGCCAAGCTCGGCGACGAGGCCCACCGAGACGAGCACTACTATGTCACGGGCATGGCCACCACTCGTGGGCCCATGGTGGCGTCGGAGCTCAGCACCTGGATCAGCGGGCAGATCTCCCGCGAGAACGCGATCGCCAAGGAGCGGAGGCAGGCAAGAGAGGAACGCGCGCTGGCCCATCCAAAGAAAGGGGCCAAGGGCGGCAAGGAGGGCGAGTAGCCTCCGGCCGCTCGCTCACGGATTCGGGTGCCTGCCGCTCCGTGGCCCCGGGCCTGCAGGCTTCTCTCTGTTCGGCTGCTGCGGGATGTGTCGCCAGCGCGACGTGTTCCCGCTTCCTACTTTCCAACTACCCCAGCGCGGAGGTGGCCGCTCTCGGGCAGTCGAGCGCCGTGCTCTCCGACGTCTTCACACGCTCGAGTGGGCGAACGAAGGCATCCACGCTCTCAACCTCCTCTCTGGTCGTGGTGACGTCGCAGCGGGGCCGCCTTCGGTTATGCAGCAGTCCTGCCTCGAGCACCTGGAGCGCAGCTACTTTGCTGCAGGAGCCCGCCCAGCTGACGTTCACCCCCGCGGGAGCCTTCGTGAGCTCTGCGGATCCGCCGTGATGCATGGCGAGACTTCAACGACCGTCGTGCCCTACAGCAAGGACCTCGTGTCGTGGCCAGCCGTGGGAGCCGCTCCCGTCGATTTGGGTAGCGCGCCCTCGGCAGAGCACTCCTCCTGGCTGAGGGGCTCGACGGCCAAGATACGAAGACCTCCAGCTGCAGCGGCGGCACTTCGGTCTGAGCTCGGACTCCATCGCCCCTACGCGGGCCCCGCCTTCCGCCACCAGCGCGTCTACGCCGATCTCGCGCAGGGGATGCTGGAGCGCGGGATGTCCGCCTGGTACCTACCCAGGCTGAGGCCACTGTCGGGCTATTCTTCGCCAAGCAGAAGTCGGGGCAGCAGCGGATCATTTTCGACGCGCGGCTGGCCAACTGCGACTTCGAGCCGCCCCCGACCGCGCACTGACCGTCCGCCTCGGCCTTTGCGCGGATGGAGACCAGCGAGCGCGACGTGGTCTGGCACTCCGTGGGCGACGTGCAGAACGCGTTCTACGCCATCTCGGTGCCTCCCGAGCTCGGGCCCTGCTTTCGCCTCCCACCCGTCCGGGCTGGGCAGGTTGGGCGGCCGCTGGTGGGCGGAGTGCGATCCGCGGCTGCGGCTTCGCTTGCGCCGATCCTGACAGCGCTGCCGATGGGCTGGAGCTGGGCGCTGCACCTCTGCCAGTTGGTCACGGAGGAGGGCCTCGCGCGCGGCGGGCTGGGCGCGGACGCCCTGGTCAAGGACCGCGCAGCCTCGCGGCCCCTTGGGCCAGATCGCCCGCTGGGCGCGGCGGGCTACGTCGACAACTTCACGGTGCAGGGCGCCCCGAAGGAACGCGTCTCAGCGGCAGGGCGGCAGGTCTCCGCGAGCCTCGAGGACCAGGGCTTCACCGTGCATGAGGACACCTCCGAGGCAGTCGACCACACCGACTTCGTTGGCCTCTCCTTCGATAGCCGCGCCCATACTGCGCGGGTCTCTACGCGGCGCATGTGGCGGCTTCGACTGGCGATCGAGGAGCTTTTGAAGCGCGGGCGTTGTTCTGGCGGGGTCCTGGAGGTGGTGCTGGGCCATGCCGCGTGGTTGATGCTGCTACAGAGGCCTACCTTGTCCATCTTCAGCGCGGTCTACGCCTTCGCGAAGAAGCACAAGCGGGAGGTCGCGCCGCTG